CCCGGCACGGTGCCCTTTTCCCCGCGAACCCAGGCCGGCCTCTGGCGCGGCCCCGTGCTCCCCAGCCTCCCCTCGGGACCGCTTGCTAAGACAGAGGTCATTTCTCGGAGAGGAGCGGCCCCTGGCTCCCCAACAATCACTGGGGCAAACCGGTCCAAGCCTACAGCCCAAACCTACACGAGCCGCACGGCAGACAACATTCCACTTTCTCAAGGTCGCAAATATTCTCACCTTCTCGCACACAATACAGTCTCCCTAACACCCACGCGACCTTTCCCACATGCAGCCTCACCACGCAGCCACAAGCAGTCTCAGCTGTCACGTGGGTCCGCGTTCCTTCTTCCATAATCTTCCAGTCCAACTCACACACAGACACGGTGTCACAGGCCTGTTGGGCACAGGCTTCCACAACAATCCGCAGTCCTTCGCACCCAGTCACTGTCTCAAATGCACTTAGTCTCCTAACCATCTTTCACGCATTGACAGCCTCTATTCACAGTCACTCACACAGACAACTTCTTACAGCCATGCTTCACAAATATTCTACCGCACAGCCTTTCCCCTAGGGGTCTCGGTGACCCGGTCAGGTCAGCTGATGCCTGCATCCCTGGGCAAAGACAGCCTTTCTCCCCTAACCACCCCCTCCCCCGCAGGGCCAAGGCCTGCCAGAGCTCGCCCGGGCCCCAGGAAGGAGCATCCCCCCCTTCCAGGCCACAGCCCTGGCCGGCTCTCAGCTCTATTTTTAGCTCCATGGACAGGGTTGTTTTTCTTTCTTTTTCCCTGGAAAGGGAAACACAGTCGAGCCACCCTCAGACTCACCCCAGACCCTCAGCCTCACAAGAACAGACTGAGCCCCTCTCCCCAACAGAGCCCCCTCCTCTGGCCTTGCCCTGATCCCTGCCTCCTGGGGCACCGAGAACCTCCTCCCCTTTCTGGCAGCCTGCCCAGCTCAGGCGGCAGCTGGGCTCAGCGTGTGTATAGGGGTAGGGGGTGGGGCGGGAAGAAGGCATCGAGCTACTGCCCACTCCCTCATTCCCTGGGGGCAGGGGCTCGTCCTCCTTTTTCTAGGGGGCTAGGCCCACTCTGGTATTGAGGGGGCGTTTACACTCATGCATTTTCTGCGGGGGAGGAGACTCCCACTCCGGCAAGGAGTGGAGGTGAGGGTAGGAAGGGGACCCGCAGGCGCTCAGGCAGCTGCTCTCTGGGCTGGCGGGAATAGGCGGGGGCAGCTGTCCACTGCCATCAAGGGCCTGTCTCCGAAACCTTCGGGGATGCAGATACCAAGAATGTGCTGGGGGAAGGACGTACAGGAGCCCAGGTTAACCCCAGCCCTGCCCAGCAGCCCGGCCCTCCTGCTCCGCCCCGGCTCCAGGGGGCGCTGTGCTCCGGTTCCTGGGAGAGGGCTTATCCCCGCTCCAGGAGGAGAATGGAACGCCGTCCGGCCTGGAACCAAGCAAACGCGCCTCGTGGTGGGGTTGGGGGCACAGGCCACTGGTGTGCGGAGCTGTCACGTGCCCGGCGCCTGTTTACGTCTTCGTCTTCACCTGTGGGCGGCCAGGAAGCAGGAACCTCTGGGTGCGTCCCACCCGGCCCGCCCCCGTCGGCGGTCACGGGGCTGCCCCTTTCCCGCACCCAATGCGCGACCGCAGAGTGCCCTGCCCGCTGTGGGTCCGCGCGGGCTGATTGGCGCTGTCCCTGGGAGTGCAAGGGTAGAAAACTGGGCGCGTCCTTTCCGACTGCATGTGTGTTCGCGTGTCCCAAGTGCGGGCGTGGGTCTGTGCACGCGTGTGTGGGGCCCGTCGGCGTGCGTCTTCGTGTCGCTTCCCTGTTTGGACTCTTCGCGGGCGACCCACCAAGTGCGGACCCCCCTCCTCACTCCATCCCTAGCTTCCCCAGAAGCGGAAAGTTCGTTCAGGAGCGGGGATGTGCGGGAAGCAGGAGTTCCTGCACCTCCGCGGCCCCACCACTCACCCAGCGCCACCTGCGCCTCGGCTCCAGCTCTGGCCCCGCTCCTGCTCCAGCGCGCCCACCTCCTCGCCGCGACAACGCCGCCTCCCTAGCCCGCTCCGAACTCTGTGCTCCGAACTCCGGGCTCCGGGTTCCGGGCTCCCGGTTCCCGGCTCCGGGCGCCCGCCTGGCCTGACCTGGTGGGGCGGGGCGGGGCGGCTCAGGCCGCGCCCCCCACCCAGGGAGGGGAGTGGTCTGTCCCGCACTCCACCAACAGCCTACCCAGTTCCCAGCCCCACAGGGACTCGACGGTGGCCGAGGCTGCCCCTCTGGCCTTCGCCTTCACAGTTTACTGGATTTGGTTTTTGACGTGGGGAAGGGGGCGAGCATCTCGTGACCGATAATTCGACTACCTGGCTGCCTTAAACTAAGCTGCCCTATAGAACTTGACTCTGCCACCCTCCCTGCTCCGTTGGGAGCCCAACCCGGTCCACTCTTGGCCCAATCCCCAAATATAGGGAAAACCCCTGGGAATCAGACAAAGAAGGCTCGAGTTTCACCAGAGCAGCTCCCACCTGCCCCCACCATGCACACACCTCAGCGTGGGGCTGCCCAAGCAGAACCAGCACAGCCCCCTCCCTAGAGTAGGTGTCTGCCCAGGTGAGCAGGCCTGCCGGTTCTGACCCCCCACGGGGCATGACTGGGCTTCTCTTAGACTCATAAAGTCCTACCCACAGGCACAAACAGGAAGTTGGCCTGTATTGCAACTCAAGGCAGCATGTGGGAAGGTCTTTAGGTATCTGGGCCATATGGGCTGCTGGAGACCTCGGTGAGTTGTTGTTTTTTGAGACGGAGTCCCGCTGTGTCGCCCTGGCTGGAATGCAGCGGGCGCGATCTTGGCTCATTGCAACTTCAGTTTCCAAGGTTCAAGTAATTCTCCTGCCTCAGCCTCCAGAGCAGCTGGGACTAGAGGCGTGCGCCACCACGCCCGGCTAATTTTTGTATTTTTAGTAGAGACGGGGTTTCACCATATTGGCCAGGCTGGTCTCGAACTCCTGACCTCGTGATCCACCCACCTCGGCCTCCAAAAGTGCTGGGATTACAGGTGTGAGCCACCACACCCAGCCGAGCTGTTTATTATTAAACCCATCCACAGCAGAGAGGAAGCTGCTGGAGGACCAAAGCTGCCCCCTCATAGCCAAGTGTGACATACACTATCAGTTAGAGGACAAGGCTGTAGATCCAACTGGACCTGGCTTAGCCAGGCCTTTCCTGAGTTCTCGGGGAAATTTTTTTGAATTTTTTTTTTTCTTCCCAATCCACTGAACCTGTGAGTCAGGGAGATTCTTAACATCCAGTTGGGTGTAGGCAGACCAGTCCTATCCCAGGGAATCTGCACAGGCCCTAGGGACCCCCCACTGCTTTCTAGAATCCAGGGATCTGAACAGGCTGGGCCCGATCATGATGTGGGTGTTTAAGGCAGGTATGGAGTAGAATGTGTTTGTGCAGGGGGTGGGGCTGGGGAGAGTATTAGCTTCCCCTCCCCCTCATCCTTCTGGTTTGTGCTGTGTGGGGATGTCTACTAGAAGGGTGGGGCAAGACAAACAGACAAGTCTGTATCCCTCTATCCCCAGTTCACAGAGACCTCACAAAGGTCCCCTACTGGAAACCCCTAAAGGATCTCCTGAGAACCCACCAGACATTCTAGGGAGACAGGAACGTGGAACCCACATCCTTACAGGTAGGACTGATCTGGTATTGTGCCTCTGGAAGGCATGGCTGCCGTTCAGTGTTACAGACTCTGGATGAAGCCTAGACCAGTCAACGGCTGGGAATGATTACTGCGGGATTAGGGAAGCCTGGCTCCAGCCAGTCTGGGAGAGACCCCCAAGAAGGGAGGCCCTGGAGGAGCTCTCCCCACCCCCCAGGTTCTTCCTCACAGAGAGCAGCTTTCCAGCAGCCTTGCTCTGGATGTTTCAGGAGACATTTGTGGCCAGAGTTCTCACACTCCAGAGACCACAGACCCCTCCACCAGTCCCAGAAGCCCCTTTATAAGTTGAAAGGAACAGCCTGACAAAGCAGCTCTGCATCCAAAGGGAGCAGGAAACCTTCCCCCAACCCTTACAAAAGGATTCTCCCCAGCCCCCTCAGAACATCTTGCATTCTCACGACTCTTTTAGGGAAATCCAAAGGGAAACTAGGACTTTTGGATATCAGAGGACAAGAGATGAGGTGTCATCATTTAGGAATACTTTTGACAGTCCCTCTGGATCACCTATTTTACAGTCTCCTCCAGGGTTTGTTAAAAATGAGGATTACTGTACCCCTCCTCAGATCTCCAGAATGAGAAACGTATGTGGTGGAGGATGGGGGGAGAATGGGCCCTAGGCTCTGCATTTTTCACAAGTCCCCAGGAGTTCTGGCACATAGTAACATATGAGAAACATGGAAAGGGTACAGGAGGGAGAAGGATGGGGGGTGGGCAGAATATGTTGAGTCCACTTGAGAGATGGGTGGCTCACATCACAGAGGAATGGCCAGTCAGGCAGGGCCTAGGCATGTGGCCCAGTGATTGAGTACCTGTGCCAGTAATCACTCAAGATCCTCAGGGAAGTTAGCTATGAGAACAGACCATTTTGTCTTCCCTAGGTCAAGAGGAGATGTAAAGGGGAGGTAGGGTGTGAAGGCCCTTTAATGTCCCTGCTTCCTTGGGAGCCTACTGCTCAAAGGCTGCAAACGGTGGGAGGGACCCGTCCATTCCCAATCCCCAGAGGGAAATACAGCTACGGACTGGGGAGACACCTGGTGGATGAATAAGAAAAAGCACAGAAACAAAGGCAATGGAAAAATTTTTTAGTAAAACTGGAAAAGGCTCTACAAAATGTCTTAACTCCAGCTGTCTTGAGGCAGCACACAATAGCATGTGTCTAGGTGGCAGGCACTCCGGGCTGACAGGTTCCTCCCATGGCTCTATGGCCAAGCAACCCAGCCCGAGGCAGCTCCCACCCGTGAGGCCCTGATGTTGCAGGCCTAAGCACCTAGGATCCAATTCTAGTACATGCCACCTCATGCCAGGCTCTACAAAGTGGAGAGCAGAGGGGCTTGGTACCCACTGTATCGCCCTTTGACTCTGAAAGCCTAGGCTGGAGTTTTGCATGAAGTCCCCGACTCTCCTGAAGATTCAGGGGGCCTGACCTTACTGCCTTGAATCTGACCTGCTCATTCCTACCTCAGGGCTTGGATTTCCTTTTCTCTGCCTGGGTCCCCTTCTCCGGATGTTCACAGGGCGCTCTCTTTCTAGTTGTTTAGGCCCCAGCTCACACGCCCTCGGCTTAGTCACCTTTTCAGACCACTTACCTACACTAGCCTGCCAGCAGTCTATCTATCGCATTTATATTTTCTTTACAGCATTCTTCACTAACTAAAACTAGGTTTTCTGCTTATTTGTTCATTGCTTGCTTGTCTCTCCCACCAGAATGCATGGGGGCAGAGACCTTTCTCTCTTTTCAGTGCTATATATACAGGACCTCAAAGAAAGCCTGAGAAGCACAGTAGTTTCTCAGTAGTCTGCTACATTGAATTTTCTCACTATAGAAACCAGCTCTAGGTTAGGCCCCTCAGACTGAGAAGGGCACACAGCTCAGGACCACAGGATAGAGGAGCCCTCAGAGTTTTATGCTCCAGCCTGTCCTATCAGGCTCATTTCAGTGAGCAGCTCTGCACGGCCTTCACTTTGAACGCTTGGAGGTCTCTGGCTGTTTGGGAGTGGGGACCTGGCCTGAGCAAATCTCAGAGTTCTGTGGCGTAGCCCCCTTTTTGCCAGAAGAGGGCTTTTTGGCCACCGATCCAGTGTCATCCTTGATCTTCTTGAGCCGGGCCTTGTTCTTTGGTGGAATGGAGAAGGTGAGGGAGTTCTTGTTGAACTCAAGTGGGAAGACACCTACATCTCCATCAAAGCGGTTCTTGGACACCTGCAGATACCGTTTCCCTGGCCCAGTTACCAGCTTCCTGTCCTGCAGGATCAGAACATTGTCTGCTTCCTGGCTTGCCTGGGGAACAGAGGGGCAGAAGGAGGAAAGCAGGAGTAAGAAAACATGAGCAAAGCAGAAAGGAAGGCTGACAGGGCAGGGAGAAGTGATTAACAATGGGGAGAGGGGCTGGTCACAGTGGCTCACGCCTGTAATCCCAACACTCTGGGAGGCCGAGGTGGGCAGATCACGATTTCAGGAGATCGAGACCATCCTGGCTAACACGGTGAAACCCCATCTCTACTAAAAATACAAAAAATTAGCCGGGTGTGGTGGCACACGCCTGTAGTCCCAGCTACTCGGGAGGCTGAGGCAGAAGAATCACTTGAATCCAGCAGGCGGAGGTTGCAGTGAGCCAAGATTGTGACACTGCACTCTAGCCTGGGCAACAGAGCGAGACTCCGTCTCAAAAAAAA